CTGGAGTGTTGTGTGTAGTTTTGGACACCAGACTTTAAGAAAGATGTAGACACATTGGAGAGAGACCAGAGGAGAGCTACAAGATAAACGTTTTAGAAAACCTGACTTATGAGGAAGGGTTAAAAAAAACTGGGCATGTTCAGTGTTGAGAAAAGAAGTCTGAAGGGGGACTAAGGGTTGTTGTAAAGAGGACAGTGATCAATTGTTCTCCTGAAGGTAGGACAAGAAGTAATGGGCTTAATCTGCAACAAGGGAGAGTTAAATTAGATGGGAGGAAAAACTTTTTAACTATAAGGCTAGTTCAGCACTGGAATAGGCTGCCATGCAAGGTTGCAGAGTCCCGTCATTGGAGGTTTTTAAGAACAGGTTCGACAAATACCTGTCAGGGCCGGTCTAGGTTTACATGGTGCCACCTCAGAACAGGGGGTTGGATTAGGTGACCTCTTGAGGCCCTTAGCTCTGTATTTCTGTGATTCTATAAGTCATTGACTTCAATGGGGCTATACTGCATGACCCCAGCTGAGGATCTGGTCCCTAGGCTATACAAATGGTCCCCTTTCTCTCACCTTTGGACTCCACCCCTCCCACTACCACTCTGCCACTCCCTTGGTGTCAGCTGAGTTCTGTCCCTATGATGTTACCCCGTGAATCAAAGAAAAACATATGTGGTCAAATTACTGAATGGAAAAACTTGACCTTCTGGTTTGGGGTTTTTTCCTCCTCATGGTTCCTATTTTTAATATAATGACACTGAGCCCCGAAGATGAATTTATCCAGAATCTCTCTGACTCAGCCTGGGGCAGTTGTTAAAACCAGTGCTCATGCCAAGTGTCAGGGGTCATAGAACTAGGGTGACCAGATGTCCTGATTTTATAGGGACAGTCCCGATTTTTGGGTCTTTCTCTTATATAGGCTCCTATTATCCCCCCATCCCCGTCCCAGTTTTTCACATTTGCTGTCTGGTCACCCTACATGGAACCAACCCAAATATACCCCAAGACTCACACAGTTCTGCCTTCAATTCTAGCCCTGGGAATAAAACAACACATGGGAATAAGACATGCATGTATAATGTATATGTATGTGGATGCATGCCCACTAACGCAGATCCACATACATTGTACACATAGAAACACAGGCATCCACATTTTCACACTGACACGCTCACACCTTTGCATGACTTATCCATGTTTGCACACAAAATACACACACACACAAGCACAGTCCCAAACATATTGCGCACAGATGCAAATGAACACAGATGAACAACGCACATGCAGATGCCCTGGCACGTACACAGATATATGGTGATACACAGATTTTCCTTGTGTACATAGACGTTAATAGACAGGCATCAGCACATATACAGCTATATACGCATATCACACCCGTAGACATACCTGCACGTAGATACACAAACACATTGGCTTGCACACTCACATACATAGATGCCCGTGATCAGATATACACACAATTGAACAAATTTGCCAGAAGTTGGGAATAGGCAACATGGGATGGATCACTTGATGATTACCTGTTCTGGTCATTCCCTCTGGGGCACCTGGCATTGGCCACTGTCAGAAGACAGGATGCTGGGCTAGATGGATCTTTGGTCTGAGCCAGTATGGCTGTTCTTATGTACTATCGGTATGACAAGGGAATATTATAAACAGACACATTAATTTCCCTAAACTACTTATCAGACCTTTAATTATTTAAGTCTCCAGTCATTTTCAAGATCCAGTTTGAGGCTAACTCCTGCTTCTGTTCTTGGCCTAATACAGTATCCTCAAAGCATGTGGTTTATGGGAAATTTTGGACAATGCAGTTAATGTCTCCTGCCTCAGGCAGTGAGAGTCAATAAAGTCAGTTTCATTTTTTCTTTTGGTCCCTTCCATTTTGTGGTATTCACTACTCTGAGTTGCAAGTCAGTGAAGACGTTTCCTTCCTTACAAACAGCTCTTTCCAACAAGCTTTTTAAAGAACAAAGTAATAGAAAGATGGTTTCTATTGTTCTTAAAAACCACCTGTGTTAAACCAGATTCGATCTGACAGGTGACAATGTTCCTCTACTACTCGAGCAATTCTCTGCCCTAGGACTGTAACAGCGGGTTTCTGTGATATCTGTGCATGTTGTTAGAGATCCATGCTCTCTGATAAACATATTTCACACATATCCTATGCACATTCCAATCCGGACTCATGCTCTCACACTCCCACCCCCACCACACAGACATGATCATTCACATGCACATTGCACACACATGTACACACACACATATATGCACATGTCTCTCACACACAGACACATGCAAACTCATAGACATATACCTATGCTCGTGCCGATGCAGTATTTTTGGACTGAAACTGACCTGTGCTGACTAAGGGTACAAAAAAAATCCAAACCCCAGCAGTGAGTCTCAGAGCCCAGGTCAACTGTCTCAGGGCTCACGCTACGGGGCTAATGATAGCAGTGTAGATGTCCCTGCTCAGGCTGGAGCCCAAGCTCTGAAACCCAGCAAGAGGTGAGGGATCTCAACAGGGCCGGCTCTAACTTTTTTGCCATTCCAAGACAAAAAAAAAAAAAAAACGCACCGCTCTGCCGTAACAACCCCCCCAGCGCCGCGCCACCAAAACAAACAACCCCCGAGTGCTGCCTGGCCGGCCGAAACAAAAAACAAAAAAACCCCTGAGCACCGCCCCGCTGAAACCAAAAAAAAAACCAGCGCCGCCCCGCCACCCGAAGATTGGCCGACCCTTACAAAGTGCCGCCCCAAGCACGTGCTTGGTCGGCTGGTGCCTGTGGCCGGCCCTGGGTCTCAAAGCCCAGGCTGCAGTCTATGTGGGAACATCTACAAGGTGTTTTTTAGCCCTGTAGCCCAAATCAGTTGACCTGAGCACTGAGGTTCTCTAACCGCCCTTTTCTTTTATTTGCAGTGTGTTGATGCACCCGAAAACCAGGCCTAGACTTAAAACTTTGGCTGGCAGATTAACGTTGACCAGCGGTGTGATGTTTTGATGGCATTTTTATATAGACCATAGCCCTAGTCTAGACACCGCTGTAACAGCATAAAAGGGCTTTCCCCAGTACAGTAGAACCTTAGAGTTACAAACACCAGAGTTACGAACTGACCAGGCAACCACACACCTCATTGGGAACCGGGAGTACACACTCAGGCAGCAGCAGAGATAAAAAGTGTGTGTGTGGGGGGGAAATATAGTACAGTTCTGTGTTAAATGTAAACTATTAAAAAAATCAAGGGAAAGCAGCATTTTGCATTTGCATGATGACGTTTAAAAGCTGTATTACATCAATGTTCAGTTGTGAACTTTTGAAGGAACCGCCAGAACGTTTTGTTCAGTGTTGTGAACATTTCAGTCATGAACAACCTGCACTCCGCAGATGCTGGTAACTCTGAAGTTCTACGGGATAGCTTATTTCATTTGGGAAAGTGGTGCAAGCTATAGGAACCAAAGCCCTCTTTTGCTGGTACAAACTACAGCTACACTTTGCCTCTAACCCCTGCACCCCTCTTCCTGTGCCCACGTGGGGAAACTGACCTGGATGCACAGAGCAGCTGGCCTTGCTGCTCCTCCCCCACTCCCACTGTTCCTCCGTGCCCCCCTAGGGGTTGGGAGGCGGGAGCTGGGAGCAACACCAGCTTAACTCTCCCTGCATCCAGGTCATTTTCCCCACCTGGGCTGCATAAGGGGAGGGCAGGAGAGCAGCAGCTCCTGATGCCTCCCAGCACAGCCCAGGTGGGGAAAGTGACCTGGATGCCCAGAGCGCTTGGTGTCGCTCCTCGCTCTCCCCATCACAGTCCACTATGGGGACACAGGAACATTGGGGGGGGAGGGCGCGAGCACTATCTGTGCATCACCCCCGCCCCAGGTTCCTCTGCCAGGAGGAAGCAGGGAGAAATCTGGGGGAGCCCCCCCCCATGCAGCGCTCCCCTGCCAGCCGGGAGCAGTTTCTGACTCTACACCCAGGGCCGGCTCCAGGCACCAGCCAACCAAGCATGTGCTTGGGGCGGCACCTTGTAAGGGCGGCCAATCTTGGGGTGGTGGTGGGGCACACAGGGTTTTTTTTTTTGGTTCGGCGGGGCGGCACTTGAGGTTTTTTGTTGTTGTTGCTTTTGTTTCAGCCGGGCGGCGCTGGGGTGGTGGGTTGTTTTTGTTTCGGTGGCGTGGCATAGCGCTTGGGAGGGAGGGGGGTGTTTCGGCGGCGCTGCGCTCGGGGGGGTGTTTCGGCGGCGCAGCACTCGGGGGGGGGGGGTGTTACGGTGGGGCAGCGTGCTTTTTTTTTGCTTGGGGCGGCAAAAACGTTAGAGCTGGCCTTGTCTACACCGGTGCCCCCTGGGCGGGGACCCATCCCCTAAGGCCGGCCCTGCTGGGGGCACATTTCACTCTAGGATAGCAGCATGGCTCAGCTAGCTTTAGACCCCGCTCCTCGCCTGCACTAAATAAGGAAAAGGAGCCTTCAGGCTCCCAACCCCTTTCTGAGGCTTGGAACTTTCAGACACCACTTGGGGAGGGGCAGGGAATTCCTACCAGGCGGGGAAACCCCCTCCCCTCCCCCCAGGGTGTATGGGGAGTGGGGGAGGGGGTCTGATGCTTGCTGCATGGTAAAGGCTGGCCGCAGTTCGCCCTTCCATTCACATTTCGCCCCCTACGAGCGGAAACAAAAGCCCAGGCCTGGGAGCTCGCTGCCAAAGCTGGCTGGCGTCCAAGGTAATTTCCCATAAACCACATGCTCTGGAGAGGCAGTATAAGGGCCGAGCCCAGGAGAACGGAGGCAGGAGACAGCCACCTCCTCCTCTCCGCGCTGCACGAAGTGCAACTTCCTCCCAGCTCCCCGGGGCAGCGGCGATGACTGCACCGTCCCGCGCCGCGCTCCCCGAGCCCCGCGCCAAGGAGGTGGAAGCCCCGCGGGCGGCGGTCCCCATGCCCCGGCTCGGCCCCAAGGTAGGGGCGCTGTGCGCGCAAGGGACCCGCTGCCGGGCTCCGCAGCGAGCCGTCCGCGCTGGGCGATCCGGGCTGCAGCTGGCGGCGGCACGTGTTGCTTTTCTGCGCTCCCTGCTCTGCCTTCGCTGCTTCTTCTTCCCCCCTGGCCCTGGGGCTGGCCCGCCGCGCTCTCTGCGCGCCCCTCCGCCGGCCCGGCTGCGCTCCCGCGGCGCCTCCTGTCATTCGGCCGCGCTTTGCGGACAGCCCCGGCGCAGCTACGCAGCCTGCAAAAAGTCTGGGATGCACCAAGGGCGTTAGGCGCCTCGCTCCAGTCCGCCAACGTATTGAAGTGCCTAAGTCCCTTTGTGACGCCCGCCTCACCGTGTGCTGCTGTTATGAGCGATTCTGGTTATTTGCTAGCCTGGGTTATTTGGTCCCGTTTTGGTTTTGTAAGGATGGTCCTGGCTGGCTGAGTACAATCCTGCAGGAGCAAACTCGGAGCAGCTCTTTCTGCCTTGCCTGACACTCCTTCTTTTTGCCCTTTTCTTGCTCCTTCGCTCTGCTGGGCTTTGCCTTTGGATGGAGACAACAGGTCCTTTCCTGCATGCGCTCTCCTTGTTGCACTGTGTGCTGGCAGGGCGGGGGCTTGAAGCGAGGTTGGGGCAAACTTTCCTTTGTGCCTTGTTTTGTAAGCTGCAACGGGGACTAAGCCAAGACAGAGCTCTTCATACCAGGGAGAGGGAGCGGGTGCACGCAGGGGCATGCACAGGGCTGGGAAGACTGTGCAGCACTCCTTGTCACCTGTCTGGGAAGCTTGTCACGACCTGGGCCTGACAAGGACCTTGGGGATGGTTTGGAGAGAACTCATCCCAGAGGACTGTGTTTGACCCCTTTGGGCTGCTTCACTGGGATCCCCTCAGCCTGTTGGAACACAGCACTAAAGGCCAAGTCTATCTAGCTAACTAACTGTCCTAGGATACTGATTCATCAAATGATCTAGCTAGCTAGCTAGATCAGAATACTAAGATCTAGAAGGATTGATAGGTAGCTAACTAGAACAGTATACTAAATGTCTATCTATCTATTTATCTGTTCCGTTAGGTCTTCGTATTCTGATCAATCTAGCTAGCTAGACCGGCATATTAAAATCTAGGAGGATGGATGTAGTTAGCTAGCTAGATGAGTATATTAAGATCTAGTAGGACAGTTAGCAAGATAGGATACTGATCGATCAATTGATCTAGCTAGCTAGCTAACTCTCTTCCTAGATTTTAATATATTTAGCTAGCTAGCTACCAATCCATCCTCCTAGATCTTAGTATATTGATCTAGCTAGTTAGCTAGCTAGATTGATTAATTGGTATACTAAGGTCTAGGAGGATAGGTTTCAGAGTAGCAGCCGTGTTAGTCTGTATCCGCAAAAAGAACAGGAGTACTTGTGGCACCTTAGTCTCTAAGGTGCCACAAGTACTCCTGTTCTTTCTAGGAGGATAGTTAGCTAGACAAATATATCTTAGTATTCTCATCTGTTTACCTAGATCTTAGATCAATCATTATACTATGATCTATCTCTATATCTATCCCCATAAACCACATCTATCTATCCCCATACACCACATCTCTCTCTCTCTCATTATTATACAGTACATAGATTAGATGGCTATTTTCCACTTATCTCATTTACCCATCCATTTATATCCCATTGGTTTCAAGGGAGTCACACCGGGGTTGCCCTGTGTTTTCCCTACAGCTCTTGGAGGTTGGAGTGCCCTGGTTGGGGAATCCTCTGCCATGTCCTTCAGGAGCATGGCCAGGATCACTCCTGACAGCATGTGGATCACAGTGCAGGAGGTCCCATGCCCTGCTCGGAGGAGGCATTGCTGTACCCTTTTGGGCCTGTTCCTAAGCCCACTGGAGTTAATAGAAGGGTCCATGGATCCAGCTCCCTGAAAACATTGGAGTTCCAGGGCGGGAGGTTACAGCTAATGCCATAGGAACACAAGAACAGCCCTCTAGCCCGGCATCCTGTGTCCAACTGTGACACGCACCAGCTGCTTCAGAGGAAGGTGCAAGGAACCCTCCATTCCTGGGTTAACCTTCCCCTGGGAATGTTTCCTCCTGACCCCAGTCAGTTCGAGGGTGGTTGTGCCATGAAGCAGGCAGGTTTATAGCCCTTCTCAGCCTCTTGGTTATTTCTTTAGCATTTGCCTTTGTGACTCTGGGTGTTCTCATTATCCACATAAATGTCCAATCCCTTTTGGAAACCTGCTAAGATTCTGGCCTCTCTGCTACATTGTGGCAATGAGTTCCACAGGCTAACTGCATTGTGTGTAAAAGAGTTCATGGAGCTAACGCCTAGCCTCCGCTTACACGGAGAGACATGACTCAGTGATGGGGCAGTGTAAAAAGAGGTGCAAAGAGAAGCTCAAGGCTGGGGCAGAGGGCCAGTGAGGGGTCCTGGAAAGGGAGGACACATTTGCAACTGGCTCTGAGATGGATGGATTTGAGGAGGTCAGTGAATTAAGATTCTTCTCAGGAGAGGAGAAAGGGAAGGGAGAGACTGCAGGGATGAGTGAGGGATGGAGGGGTGGTGGGAAAGAGAGAGATGGAGGAGATGAGGAAAGGGGGGGTGCAGAAGAGGGTTGGAGGAGGGAGGAAGAGAGGAGGAAGAAGGGGTGCCATCATTGGGAGGTGGAGCATGAGAGGGGGGTGAGAAAAGGAGCCTGAGGATACAAAGAGCAATGGAGGGAGTGGGAAATGATGGGGTGGTGGAGACAGGACGAGAGAGTGACTGGTGGAGGCACAGGTGGCAGCAGCCGCGGTTTCCTGCTCTGCACGGACGGGTTGTACACATTTGCGTCTGTCAGCAGCCTGGCTCTAAGAGAGCAGCTCAGCTGGCCCTGGGAGAGCAGGGCTGGGGAATTCCCAGCAGGGGCTGCTCAGCTGACCTGTTCCTTTAATAATAGCAGACCTGGAGGGGGAGAGAGTGGAGAGGGGAGAAGTGTTCACAGACCGAACGCTTGGGTGCCCACTAAAAAGGATTTGTGGCCCGAGCTCCTGGCACAGCAACTCAGGCAGATCAGTGCAGCTTGTACTCTTCCAGTGGAGTGCCACACGATGCCCGCCTACCATGCCATGCCCACAGCGCCCATGTCTCTTAGCCATCTCTGCATTGCTAATGGTGCTAACGCCAGAGGGAGAGAAGGATTTGTATGGCAGAGAGACAGACAAACCGGGCAGTTCTTTGGGACATGCCATAGATCGGGAATCCATAGGGCTCTCCATGGGGACTGGCAGCATCCTTCTATGTCCACTGACTGGCACAAAGAGATCCACAGCAAAGGCTTCAGAGTAGCAGCCGTGTTAGTCTGTATCCGCAAAAAGAACAGGAGTATTTGTGGCACCTTAGAGACTAACAAATTTATTTCAGCATAAGCTTTCGAAGGCAAGGGGATAGCCACAGGAAACAGCACTGGGATACTGCCCTGGAGCCTGCTAGCCATAGGGGCAATAGGGAGCCCAGGGACATGGATTCTCTGATGGCAAGTGTTCCTGACAACTTCTCCCTTCCTCAGGCATGCCCGGTCTCCTGCACCCTGCTGACTTTCTTCCTCCTCGCCGCCTGCAGCATCCACAAAACTGAGCAGAAAGGCTACTGTGAGAATATCATCACCAAAAAGCACCTGGATAATCTGCAGGATCTGGTGAGTATCATGCCCAGCCAGCGTGGCTGGTGGGATGGGATCTGGAACATTATGGGGTGAGGCTGGGGCCTGGTGCTAGCCAGGGGTCCCTGCGAGGTGAGTGCGTGGTGTCCTCCAGGTCCACACTCGACGAGACCAATGCCTCTGCCAAGTGAGAATAGTACTTGCTGAGTTTGATGCCTGAGCCAGGGGAGACAGGTAGTCATGCCATGGACTCTAGAGGGCCAGATTAGCTGGGGCTGCAGGTCCGACCAGCCCCTGCCCCAGGTGAGATCAGTCTTTGTGCCCCACATGAATGAGACCGATGATAGGCCATCCAGAAGCAAGGCTCCCACATGGAGCAAAAAATCCAGGGGAGAGACCTATCAAAACAAGGGGGAGGTGGGCAGTGGTGATAGCTGTGGGAAGCAGAGACATCCCCTGGATGGCCTCGCTGCTCACCAGCATACATTGGGATTTGCTGTTAATGAGCATTGGCTCCAGCATAGAGGATGGGCTGGATCACTGGGATGGGGATGTGAGCCCGCAGTCACTGGCAGGGAAGGAGTGAGGATGGAAGAGAAAGGGATGGCGAATGTGGGAGAGATCGCAGAAGTAAGGAAAGAGAAAGATATCTACCCATCTGTCATCAGCTGGAGGATAGATAAGACGTTGGAGTGGAGTAGGAATGCCTTTCTACCCACACAAAACTCTACTGACACAGTTTGCAGGGTTATGGGTTGTGCGTAGGTACATTCCAAGCTGTGCTGATTGCAGGCTGGTCCTTTAGGTCTGGGATCTCCTATAGCCCCAGCCCCACATTCCTCTCTTCTGCATCGGAAGGGAGAGGAAGACTTATGGGGAAGGCAGTTTCTAGCCCTTCCTTGGAATGAACCCTGGCTCAGTCTGGATTGTGAACCTCGTGAGCATTTAGGAGGACGATGGAGCACTTGAGATCTGCAGCTGCCAAAGGGTTAACCTTGGGAATCTGGCAGTCCCCCGCAGGATTAGTTACAAGGGGACTGACCCAGGAACCTTCCTGGTCTTCCAGTACTGGGAGGAATTCCCCAGCCTTGTTTCTTGCACAGCTGCTGCACAGGCTAACAGGGCTGAATACTGGTGGATGCTGCCAGGGCATCAGCAGCAGAAGGCCAAGTACAAAGAGGGCACACGGGGCAAGTCAGGGTTCAGCAGGCACGTTTTTTTCTCCTCGGCTCACAAATGATTTGTGAGCGGATCCAGCTGATTCGGAGTCAGAAATCAAAGGAAATTCCTGCAATGTCTCCAGCTCCCCCTCCTGATTCTCCCTGGCTGCTGAAGTGGATGTCCTTAAATTAAGTTAAAAATTATTTAGACAAATTACAGGTTTCAAAGTAGCAGCCGTGTTAGTCTGTACCGCAAAAAGAACAGGAGTACTTGTGGCACCTTAGAGACTAACAAATTTATTTCAGCATAATTTATTTCAACCCACGAAAGCTTATGCTGAAATAAATTTGTTAGTCTCTAAGGTGCCACAAGTACTCCTGTTCTTTCTTTAGACAAATTAGATGTCTTCAAGTCACCAGGGCCTGATGAAATGCTTCCGAGAATACTCAAGGAGCTGACTGAGGAGATATCTGAGCCATTAGTAATTATCTTTCAAAAGTCATGGAAGATGGGAGAGATTCCAGAAGACTGGAAAAGGGCAAATCTAGTGCCCATCTATAAAAAGGGAAATAAGGACAACCTGGGGAATTACAGACCAGTCAGCTTAACTTCTGTACCCGGAAAGAAAATGGAGCAAATAATTAATCAATTTGCAAACATCTAGAAGATAATAAGGTGATAAATAACAGTCAGCATGGCTTTGTCAAGAACAAAAAATGTCAAACCAACCTGATAGCTTTCTTTAACAAGCCTTGTGGTTAGGGGGAAAGTGATAGACGTGGTATATCTCAACTTTAGTAAAGCTTTTGATACTGTCTTGCATGACCTTCTCATACACAAACTAGGGAAATGCAACCTAGCTGGAGCTACTATAAAGTGGTAGCATAACTGGTTGGAAAAACATTCCCAGAGAGTAGTTATCAGCAGTTTACAGTCATGCTAGAAGGGCATATTGAGTGGGGTTCTGCAGGGATCAGTTCTGGGTCAGGTTCTGGTCAATATCTTCATCAATGATTTAGATAATGGCATAGAGAATACACTTATAAAGCTTGCGGACGATACCAAGCTGGGATGGGTTGCAAGTGCTTTGGAGGATAGAATTAAAATTCAAAATGATTTGGACAAACTGGAGAAATGGTCTGAAGTAAATAGGATGAAATTCAATAAGGACAAATGCAAAGTACTCCACTTAGGAAGGAACAATCAGTTGCACACATACAAAATGGGAAATGACTGCCTAGGGAGGAGTACTACAGAAAGGGATCTGGGGGTCACAGTGGATCATAAGCTAAATATAAGTCAACAGTATAACACTTTTCAGAGTAACAGCCGTGTTAGTCTGTATCCGCAAAAAGAAGAACAGGAGTACTTGTGGCACCTTAGAGACTAACAAATTTATTAGAGCATAAGCTTT